CAAATACCTTCCACCCTTCCCTGGTCCCTGTCTCGTGCCTTTCGTCTGACTGAAACATTGAAATGGATAAATTTTGGATTAGTTTTTCACAGTTAAATTTCTATTTCTGATACGGACTCAGTCCACCTCGGGGTTGATAAGACAGACGGCAGATATTTTCATTTACCGAAATAGGCTATTCCCCATATAAGGTGATTTTGTAATTTTTTTCTTTCGTCGTTATTTGATCTGTAATAATAAATACATTGAGATATTTTTGTGTATGTGTTTTAATATTTATATTATTAGGATCCCCTTGGGTTATATACCAACGGATTTGTTACCTTTTTATATATATATATATATATATATATATATATATATATATATATATATATATATTCGACTCTCCCGTCAAATTCGATGTATGAAGGTCAAGCAGATCACTTCCGAGAAACAGACAGCTCGACACCAGCACATGTGATTTGATTATAGTGGTGAAGGTTTTGTGCAGAATCATCCACATATTTGAAGGGCTAAATGCAGAGACCTGGTGCACTACGTGCCACAAGGTCCCCAAACGACCCTCTACAGATATATATATATATATATATATATATATATATATATATATATATATATATATATTTCCAAGAGGATAGAATCCAGGTAGAACTCAGTGTCCAGGACAGAGAAAGAATATAATATAAAATGCTCAAACACTAATGTTCCATGGGTATAATTTATTACATTGGAATCGTAATCACGATCCAATTCATCAGACCTACAAATTCAAAAGTTTGAATTTATAGGTTTGTAGAATTTGTTGTTTGATGAATTGGATTGTAGTGTTTGTAAAATAAAAATACATTTCCAACGCTATAAATAAACATAGTTAAAGTTGTTTTTTTTTTTTTAATCCTTGATAATGGTTAATATAATCGCCGATGTGATCTTATATATAGAACACAGATTAATCATATAGTCGAATGTAATGAAAACGAAAGGAATATAAATTCAAACGTTCACAGCATTAATTCAATAACGGTCTCAATACCAAGAGTAGAGCAATAATCAAGGATGAACATCGTTAAGCATCATTGTTTTTCATCCGTCGAGATGCTTCCGCATCGAAACAAAAATGCATCTCTGTCGTGAGTAATTGCTTCGTCTGTATATAAGAATTATTATTATTATATATATATATATATATATATATATATATATATATATATATAATAAAATTAACTGATTTAAAAATATGGTTTCATTGCTACACAGGAATTTCCATGTTTCAAAAACAGAAAACAAAAACTTCAAATTCAGTTATATTAAATTAAAAGCATTAGTTCTGTTTCATCTTCAAACGAATTTTGTAATAACTTGTTTTAAAATTTACTGAGTTTTAAAAGCACATACATTCATAAATTTTGTTCCCAAGGATATAGAGAAATCCAATCATTTAGACAGGACCGGTAGCGTCTTCTTCTTTATTAACTATTATTGTATCAATTATGCGTTACGTCCGAAAATGGGTTAAGTCTAGGTAGGATACGGTTACCTTTTTTAACGAATTATGACACCCGTTCAATGCATGTCGTCTGTTTTTTTTGTTTTTGTTTTTTGTCAATGGCAAAAAAAATTTTCGGCATTTTATTCATTAAATTTCTACTTTATACATACATACAACATGCCTGACCGCATACACAATAACTCGTTGAAAACACAACTATACTTAAACATGAAAGTTTGTTGTTGCTTGGAAATCTTCCATGCATACAAAAACAGACTATCATTATTGTTTTGTCCGTGTATTGCTTAACATATTGTAAAGTAATTGTCATCTTTGAAATGGTTTATGTGATCCGAAATCTTAGATAGGATTAAAAAATATGTATGAATATTGTGATTTTCTTTCGTCTTTTAATGATAATGTTATTAAGCTTATCAGACGATATGAAAAGAATTTACATAAAATAAACAGACAAAACAATATATATATATATATATATATATATATATATATATATATATATATATAGATAGATAGATAGATAGATATGAACAGGTTGACACAAGCAACCAGATAGTTGGAATGATTTTTTCCGAAAATGAAACAAATCCTTGCAAATGGTGAATGATGTACAAATATCCAAGATCCAGTTGACGCTAATCTGATTAAAGTTATACAAGCGAAAAGGACCAAATATGGACGTAAGAAATATTTGGACGGGACTTAAAAGTGTTATCGTTATCAATTATATTAGTCAAATACAAATATAGCCGAATCAGGACCGGTGGATGTGAATATGTAAGGTTTATTTAAAACCCTGGGGATAGAATAGGCGCATCCGAAATGAAAAGAGAGGCGGAATCAAGTGGATTTTCAAATTAAGTAAGATTTTCGAAAATAGGAAATAATCTTTTTTTTTTAACTGAACGTCGTCTTTTAAATGTCAAAAGTATTATCAAAAATTATTATTGTACTCTTGGAGACGCAGTGTTTTCGTGAAGACAAAACAATGGCTTCAGCTTCTGCTTACATCCCAGCTCATGCTTAATAAGCAGCTTTGAGAATCTCAAAAGAGAATTAAAGCGGGAAGAGATAGAAAGAGATAGAAAGTAAGAGGCGAATCCGCCATTTTTATCTTTTCAGGCTGTCTTCATCTCCATCTCTTCATTACACAATTCTCCCACCGCTCTCTCTCTCTCTGTCTCTGTCTGTCTGTCTGTCTGTCTGTCTCTTTCTCTCTCTCTCTTTCTCTCTCTCTCTCTCTCTCGTTTTTCCCTACAAGAGTATTCAGGCATGGAAAGAGAGAGAGAGAGGCGAATTTACATTTCTAGGTTCTCAGGCAGTCCGCCCCCCCTCTCTATTTCTCTTTCTTTCTTTCTTTCTTTCTTTCTTTCTTTCTCGCTCTATCTATCTATCTATCTATCTATCTATCTATCTATCTATCTATCTATCTATCTATCTATCTCTTTCTCTTTGTAATATCGTTATTCCCCACAAGAGAATTAAGGCATGAAGCGAGAGTGGGGGAGAGGCGGATTTACAGTTTATCTTTTGAGACTAACTCCGTCTCCATTTCTCCCTCCAGTATTCTCCCCCCCTCTCTCTCTCTCTCTCTGTAATATCGTTTTTCCCTACAAGAGAATTCAGGCATGTAGTGAGAGAGAGAGGCGAATTTACATTTTTAGGTTTTTCAGGCTGTCTCCCTCTGCACATCTCTCTCCACCACTCTCCCACTCCCTCTCTCTCTCTCTCTCTCTCTCTCTCTCTCACTCTCTGTCTCTCTGTAATATCGCTATTCCCCACAAGTGGTACAGTTGGACGTACCATTTACGTTCATCATGTGATCTTGTAGCCCAAAGTGTATAATATATAATAGAAGGAAAGAAAGTATGACAATAGTGAAAAGAGATGGAACAAATACATTGAGTCAATTGCTTCGTCTACCGCAAGGAAAGTTGGCTCCCTGTGCCGCACCAGGAAATTTTTCTCCCCGGAATCGATCCTCCAGATCTACAAATCAACAATTCGCCCTTGCATGGACTATTGTTGCCATATATGGTCTGGAGCCCCTTCTGTTTGCCTCGGGGTTCTTGATAGGCTCCAGAGGCGGATATGCAATATAATTGGCCCTGATCGGTCATCTCGTCTGCAGACGCTCTTTCACAGACGCGTCGTCGCCTCTCTCTGTCTTTTCTACAAATACTTTCATGGCAATTGCTCCGAAGAGCTGCATTCGCTGGTTCCCAGACTTCATGAATTCAAGCGCCCTACGTGGCTGGCATCCCGCTCTCACCCTTTCACTGTCGAAACTCCTAAATGTAGCCGTCTCTTCTACTCCAATAGCTTCATGTCTCGCACCTCTCACCTGTGGAACTCCCTTCCCTATTCCAGTTTTCCTGAGAGCTATAATCTCCAGCTATTCAAATGTAATGTCAATCGACATCTCCAGATGCCTTGATCTATCCACTATCCTTCTCCTCATTCTTTCCTCTATCACCCCTATCTGATCTTGCTCCAAATTTTCTGTAACCCCTTGCGTCCTAGTGGCTTCCCGCCTTGCTTGGGATGAAACGCTTAAAAAAATAAAAATAAAAAAAAAAATACCATTCGTCCATGCTTTGAATATTGCTGCCACATAAGGTCCGGCGCCTTTGGTATTTACCTTGAGCTCCTTGATAGAATCCAAAGAAGAATCAGCAATATAATAAAATTTAAACTGCTCCGATGAGCTGAAATTCAGTTTGTCAATGTGCTACCAGGGATGTAAAAGAGGATACATTTATAAAGCAATTGTTAAGTTTGATAAAAATTGGTTGAAAGATCAGCGAAAAATAAGAAAGAAACTACATAAAAATCGCCATTTTTCGCTATTTACCCGGGTGTTCACTATATGGATTGACTCAATTATCAAGTTAAATGACTGTTAAACAATCAACTTATGATTGGCTACAATTGAAGGAAGTTTGTATTGGATTGCTTGAAAATTGAGAAAGTTTTTAGTTTAAAATTTGAGTTGAAATTGATTTCTGTTGAAATCGATTTTTCGTTTTTCGCTAAACGCAGTGGTGTAGAAATAAAAACGAGGTATCGTTGAGCTCATCATGATGTAACTAACCTACATACCGAGTTTGAGCGAAATCGGAGGAAAAAATTAAATTTAACGATATTTGATCGGTTTTATCGATTATTATTATTTTTTTAAATTATCGATTTTTACGCTAAGAACCTATCTCATATACTGTACAATGTACATGCCAAGTTTGGTCAAAATCTCTTGGATGGATCTCGAGTGAAAACGTATCACACAGACAGACAGACAGACACACAGACATCCTTTGTTTTATATATAAAGATTATTATTACCAGCTTAATTTGACGTCTCCAATATTTAGTTAAAATCCTGGGCAGTTGCTTTTGCTGATGACAATGTATTGTCTTCTTACAGTTAATAGTTTGTCCTTTCTTCTTTCTTTCTTTTACTATCTTCTCACAGAGTTCTTTCAAAACTTACGGTCACATCTCGTTGAAATACCGTTTACCGTACCATCACAGAAGTAAAGCAACGTCGAGCCTGGTCAGTACTTAGACGGGTGACCGCTTGGGAATACCAGGTGCTTCAATGTGTGGGTGGTGTAATGCACAATGGCTCGGAATTGTTAATCGGAGAACAGAGTTCCAATTCCAGTTGGGTTCGTTACATTAACTTACGAGCAAATGCACTTGTGGAAGATATGAAACCACCTTATATCCCCTACTTATGGGTTAATTAGGAATAAGTCTTATATCGCTAAACATTATTATCTCCATAAACTTCTTACAGTCTAAAAATATTTTATTGGCTTTAAATAACCTGCAAAGGGTTGATAAGCCGTAAAAAACAAGTCAACCAAATGCTGATTACCTATACAGAAATGTCTTTTAGATTTATTTACATTCTCTGGAATATAAATGTATAGAAACTACAGTGGCCACAAATTGAGGGATCTGTTTATATATTGATTGTAATATAGAATTGATCCCCAACGTTATGTTCACACTATAATTTCTTATTAGGTATGAACACACCTTTTCTCCCAAGGATATGGATTAATTAGTAAGACTTTATCACTAAATGATTATTATCTAAAAAAAAAATTAGAATCGAAAAATATTTTCTGGCTTTAAATAACCCGTAAAGTGTTGATAACCCATAGAAAATTTATCAATCAATCAAGGAAATACTGATTACCTACACTGGCATGTGTTTTAGATTTATTTACATTCTGTAAAATTGAAATGTATAAAAAATACCGTGTCCAGAAAGTGAGGGATCAGTTTATATATTGATTGTAATATAGAATTGATCTCTCATTTTACATTCACATTATAATGTCTTGTTTATCAAATTCTGATTAGGTATGAATCTACCGCGTCTCTCCTCAACTATGGATTAAATAGTAAGTCGTGTATCACCAAATCATTATTATCCACAACCACAAAAAAAAATTCTTAAAATCTATAAAAAAATTTCTGGCTTTAAATAACCTGCAAAGGGTTGATAAACCGTAAAAAACGAATCACGAATCTATTCTCATTTATATATTTACCATTCGTTCATGTTTTGAATAGTCGTGCCAATTCTAGTCTGGTGTTATTCCGCTATTTCTTCAGAGATTCTTTATAAAATCCAAAGAAGAATCTGCAGTATTATTGGTCCTGACCTAGCATTTCGGTGGCAGTCAGTTTCCTATCGCTGTAATGTACATCCTTTCAGTCAGTTTTTTTATAAATAATTTCACGGTAATTGCTCGGATGACATCTTCGCTATGGTAGCTAGAGTTTATGAATTTAAGCGCGGCAGTAGATTGGCAACAACTGCTCATCATTTCGTAATTGAATTAGCTAGATGTAAACCGTAAGTTCTATGCAAATAGTTTCTTCTCTCGCACTTCTTGTTTGTGGAACTTTCTCCCGGCTCCATGCTTTGATCTTCAAAAATTTCAATGCAAAGTTATACGCTATCTTTCGTCTTTCTGATAATTCTTCTTCTATTGTTCTCACATCTTAATGTTTAATTATTTTTTTTTCTTATTCATTCACACTCAGTAACCCGTTGTATTTTATCGGCTTCATTGCCTTGCATGGGGTGAAATGATTTTTTTTTTTTTTAAATCAACCAATCAGATTTCTTGCTATTTGCCTTCAGTGTTTGTCACTAATCTACTCAGATAGTAACGGCTAAAAGCTGTCGTTGCTTTTGTTAACCTTGACAGGGGATGAAATAAAAGAATATCTATGTGTGTGCATCTTTTTTTTTTATCTGAACGCGTGCTTGTGTGTCTTTGTTTGTGTGTCTGTCTGTACGTGTGTACATGTATACGTGCGTGTGTGTGTACATGGGGGAAATGGTAAGCAGTTCTTTGAGAATATTTGTTGATGATACCAAAACTCACTTGCTCTTAGATGTTGATGCATAATTGTATCTAATTGTAACTCTGGGCATTTACGATTGTGTTTCTAGTGTACATTTCTTCGGTTCTTTGAACTTATCATCTGTCTTCTTCTTCTTCTTCTTCTTCTTCTTCTGCATCCACCATCTTTGCAAAGCTGTCTGTCACGTGGTTACGGTTAGTCATCGGGCGTGGTCATTTGCGAGGCGTGGAGATGAACGGCAGAATAAAAAAAAAGAGAGAAAGAAATACGGCCCACATCGTTTTTCATTAAAGATATGTTATGTAGATGCCACACACGGAGATGCAGAAGTGAACTGGGCGACGGGGAAGCAGGAAAAAAATAAAAATAAAAACTTTTATATACCGTAAAGGAAGAAAATGGATATATTGAAATGATAGCACTGAAGATTGTTTGCAAACAACTACCGATGCATGAATAGATAGATAGATAGATAGATAGATAGATAGATAGATAGATATGAAGAGACTCAGATAGATAGATAGATAGATAGATAGATAGATAGATAGATAGATAGATAATGAACATACTTAGATTGATATGAATTAACTGACAGA